ATGCTAACAGGGTCATGCTTTTAGGAGTGTAATTTTAGTGTATCCATTAAAGCAACATAACCTAGAAAAATACAATCGTAGCGATTTTGTTAAGTAATGTTTGGCAATATGTGTTTAAGCATTTTGTAACATGAATTGGTATTGATTGAATAATCAAACTATTAACAGTTCAGCTGCAATATACAATCGAGATTTGTAAATGTTATCAAGGACATACATATAAGGAAATTTTTTTATTTAACTCAAAGCTTTATGACACTTTTATAAAAAATAAATTGGCACATTTATAAATAAAAAAGAGTAAGCTTGTTGCAAAATGATCGCGAAGTTTTCGCTTGTACTGGTTGCGTATGCCGCAAATGTCAACCGGTACTGGTGAGTAGGTTTCGTGACATAACCACAGAATATGGAAGTATTTACGTCCAATCGTAAGCAAACAAGATACACGAAAACCTGTTACAGTCAGTTTTTTTACACGAATCTGTGTAATTTATTAAATTAACACGTCACTTAATAAATTTAGATTTTAAATGCGATTATAACTTGACGATTTTTATTAGAATTAGGAATTACATGATAGGAAATATATTTTTAACATTTTATTCTCCAGTACAGCAATAAAGGCTATGTACAACGTTGTGTATTACTCAATAACCATTTGTCGTTGCATTCTGTGGAGAAAGAGTGGCCCTGTGACCGGTTGTTGTGAAATCTGTTGCGCGTATAGCCGCTTGGCAAAATCCCTTGCGTCTCATTTCGTAATTACATTAAAAATTCAAGATGACACACATGCACGCATATTACCACATTATTTGGTAACTTTAGTATCTCTATAATATTTATGATTGAAAAGTCTAAAAGTCTTTTTTCTTTGTTACAGCTCTCGGTCAAGAATCCTTCAAATGTCCCGATGACTTCGGTTTCTACCCACACCACGTGTCCTGCGACAAATACTGGAAGTGCGACAATGGTGTCGCTGAACTGAAAACCTGCGGTAACGGACTCGCCTTCGACGCCTCTGACTCCAAATACCTGACAGAAAACTGCGACTACCTTCACAATGTTGACTGCGGTGACAGGTCACAACTTGGTAAGTAAATTGGTCGACGGATGGATGTTTGTTAGAATTTGTATCCTAGGCTGATAGAATTTGGTATAGATGTAGAATTTTTTTTTTAAAATTACACGCAGGCGGAGTCGCGGGCAAAAGCTAATACATGAATAAAAGTATAAAATTAAAAAAGTTAATGAGAAAAAAAATTCAAATGAATGTAAAAATTAATTCATGAGCGCCTGGTAACATTTTTCCATATACACGGTCAAGGTTAACAAGGATTTGCATTCAAATTTATTCGTGATGGTATTCCGCTTACCAGGATGTGGTCAGAAGGTCGTTAGTTTAATCACGTATAGTAAATTATCTCTCTATGCTGGTGACAAAAATTGCTATAATGTGCTAATATGAACATACATTTACATAATATATCTGAGTCAAAATACAAATATATCAAATTTAATAAGAGATAAATTTACCACAGAAAGCTCATAACATATTCCAAAAATAATCTCTCATTCTTTCCGAATGCTCAGTAGATTATATTATATTTATTTTCAACAGAACCCCCAATCTCAACCCCCCACTGCCAAAGGCTGTACGGTATCTTCGCTGATGAGAAGAAATGTGACGTATTCTGGAACTGCTGGAACGGTGAAGCCTCCCGCTACCAGTGCAGCCCCGGACTTGCCTACGACAGAGAAGCGCGCGTCTGCATGTGGGCTGACCAGGTTCCTGAGTGCAGGACTGAGGGTATGTTTACATTAAACTCATTACATTCGAATTTTAATTTTACCTTGTGCTATCCAAGACTTTTCTAAAGATACATTTGTCAATTTTTTTGTTTAAAATTATTTAAAAATCCGCTCTCAGAAGACCGACAAAACTAATTTTACATTTTTTGTATTTCACAGAAGTAGCCAACGGATTCTCTTGCGCTAACCCCGGTGAGGTTGCCAACGCTGGCTCCTTCAGCCGTCACGCTCACCCTGAGGACTGCCGCAAATACTACATCTGTCTGGAGGGAACCGCTCGGGAGTACGGTTGCCCCATTGGCACCGTCTTCAAAATCGGAGACTCTGATGGCACTGGCAACTGCGAAGACCCCGAAGATGTTCCCGGATGGTGAGTACTATTTCCTTCTTTGCGTTCGTAATATTTATTAAATATCTTTTTTCACAAAATATCTGTCTGATATCGTTCAAGTGAAACTATCTTGACTAAGCAACTTGAACACTTTCTATATTTCTACTGAATCACACTGGATGTTTACCGATTAAACTCTTTTAACTCTGTATTATCGAATCGGTGTTCCTTTTGTTCCTATTCCACAACGTACATCCCTGTGACTAACAATTCTTTTGCACTTTTCGATAGATTTTACATATTATTTGATGAATTTAAATATTCAAGTGTTTTAGTTATATAATCATTATGTATTCTGAAGACATTCCGATGCATGCGAGCGAACAATGTTGAAAGAATTTTTAAACAATTAATTAGTGGATAGCATCTTACATTTACAACGAATTTGTAATTCAAATTAGTTAAAGTAGAACTGCACGGCTGTCCACGAATATGTCATGCGGTGTCCGCGGACGTTCTTGGTCAATGCCGACTGGTGTAACGGAATACATACGTATGGTAATGCCCGTTTTGTTTCATAAGCTTATTCGGCGAGTAACTGTATTACGCCGATTTAGTAACGCCATTCGAATTTCAATATTACATTCAATGATTGTTAGCCTACTTATCCGTCTGTTGTTTCCTATTACAGTACTAGATTTCTTTTTGAGCTGATCCAAAACTAGTTTTTCAATGAAACAATGAGTCCTTTCAATAAGGTTTATCTTTAGTTCATGGTCTGCCTGCTTGGAACAATCACTTTAAAAGTGGGATGCGCCTGCGACGGTCACGATTAAAAAGATCAAACCAAGGTCAAATGCGTCGTATGAATCCTTTCGAGTCTCGCCTTAGCTCATTATTGACTTCTAAGAATACATTTTGTATTACACGCAGGTGTATTTAAGCGAATGGTGATTTATACGTTATAAATTCAAGGCAGTTCAGTAGATATTAAGTGTCGTGGGCAAGTTTTATTACACAAGTTTCAATTCTCTTAGTATGTTCGCAGTAAAAGTTGCTCGGAATTATTATGGCCATTTAAAACGTTTATTGCAATAAGTATAGTAATATTTACAGTAGGAGATAAGTTAAGTATAAGTAGATGCGACAGGCAGTAAGGTGCGCGTACATTTTCAGCGAGGACTACTATGGCGATTTGGATCTGAAGTCGATCCGCAAGAGCGAACTCCTTGCTGGACTCCAGAGCGACGGCCAGTCCCGCCAGACACAGCCAAAGCAGCTTAAACCCCGCCCCCAGAAGGAGAACTAAATCTTAACTCCCTCCCCTTCTAAACCTTTAATACTCACATTTTTACTTTAAATTACTTCGCGCATTAAAAACAACAAGCACGTACCGTGTATAGCACAGTCTGAATATAAATAAATCAGAAAAAAGTTGTTTTCGGCGCGCGAAGATATTGTACCGAGTTTAAATTTGAATTTCGAATTGTTAAGTGAGTGAAGCCGATTGATTTGTATTCATTTCTAGTTGCCAAATAATTTTCTCGTTGTAGCCTTAACAGAACAATTTCCGGAGGCGGATTAGAAAGTTAATAGAAAGTTTACAGCGTTAGAAATATTTATTTTATATTGTATCTTAGCTCTCATAGTGCTCTGTAAGTCATTCGAATGGTTTGTTCCGCTGATACTATGATCGGTGATACTTCTGGAAAATATGAAACGAATAAGACTAGGATATATTATATGTATAAATATATAAATTTGCATTTATAAAGTCCAGTGTAAATTGATACGTTTCCATTTCAATCAATCCACGACCTTGTAAATAATCTATGTATTGAATTATCTCTCTGCGACTGAGCGTTGTTGTTTGATAAACAATCTGTAATACTTAAGTTTTACATTTAGTGATAAAATAAAGAAAACATTTAAAAATTAAACCACTTTTGTGTATTATTTATCTGTACGTTGGTAGTATTTTACTTTTGCACGAATTTCCTCATAACATACTTTCACGGTAACACTTTTTCTATGTTGTTTACACTCTTGTAACCTTCTAATAACTTATTATTTCAGTTTATTTCTTTTTTTTAATCTGTATATACTCTACTAGTTCTTTTAACAGCCAGTCTTTGTCTTCTTTCAAAAAGGTATGTTTATTAATTATTATAACAGCTTCTTACGTAATTTATATTTTTTATTTTTAATTTTTAATCTATATTTGCTGGATGTGATATAAAAATATTTGATTGTAATGTTAATAATATATGTTGCAGCGAGGATTATTACGGCGACGTCGACCTCAAGGCGCTAAAGAAGTTGGGATTTTGAAAGTCAAGGGACAAGTGAAGGCATAGACTTAAGCTGTACTTGGTATAACATAGAGGGCCTTTTAACTACAAATTAAATTATTAATTGAAATTTAAAGTCTAAGTTACCGATTTTGGTCTAAGTTATTTTAAAATTTCTAATTGAATTAAACGCAAATAACATTTATTTGCTTTAGAAACGCTACAGTACGATAAAGTACAGATGTTTGCGTTTTAATATAAATTTTATATCAAACAAGTATAACGCTTTGGCAATTGCAATTTCTGACAAAGAAAGTAAGGCTTTTTTAATGTTTGCCAAATATGTAATACTAATAAAGAATCTCTTTGACATGCTACCAACGTGAAAACGTTGATAGTTTGTCGAATATGAACATTATGTATTAACTTAGTGATATAAGTTAATTAGGTTAGGTAAGGTTTTTTTACAATCGAATGTAAATAAATTTTTTTACTCACAACTGTTTATTTATTTCACCATAGAATTTTTCCTTAATTTCAGTTAAAAAAATACAATAAATTAATTGCAAAACTTTATACTGTCCGGCTCAAACCACATGACGCCTTTTCACAGAAGGAGCTTTCGGAATTAAAAAAAGCAAAATTAAAATTATTAAAATGTCCTCGGAATGATTCGAGTTATTCTGCTGTTTTAACATCAGCGATAGCTTTAAGCTTCAACTGACGAATAGCATCTTGACGTGACATAGCAACATGCGTTGAAGTCCAAGCTGGAATAACAAAATGAACATCAGACAATCCTTTAAAAAGCACGTAATAAGGTGTTTTTAGTATTTAAATACATATATAAAAACAATCTTTTATCATTCATTGATTTCCTTAAGAAATCTCAACTTCAAAAAAACTGAATGGAATATTTTTAATATTACAAAAGTGAAAGTTTGCTGCCTAAACGGATCTCGATGAAATATAGCTTAGATCTAGATCGTAGTCTGGAAGTATACATAGGTTACTTTTAATTTTTGGAATTCCACTCGGAGGAAATCGCGGGTGACTAGTTATATTTACATTAAAGAAACGTGTTCTTTAAAAATATAGAAAAAAAAATCACAGATATTAACACTTACTCTTGCTATCATAATAAGTATTGATAAACTGATGAACTGCTCCAGGAGTCGAAGTTGTAGGCGATGTGCTTTGTTCCATTGGAGTTGTATCCTTCGTGCTATAGATGGCGGTGGTAGTAGATTGAGTATCGGAGTCAGAAGGGTCAGTCAACGAAGTGTTACAACTTACGGTATGTTTATAATCACATACTCCCAAATACTGAAATGTAAAATGTTAAAGTAATAAAATGTGAAGTTAAGACATTGATTTTTAATTTATAAACCATAAAGGGAACTTAACAATCCTAATTAAAGTATTGCTTGTTCACGATATTGGCTAATACAAACTTAAGTCGAAGCCAAAGTTTTTTTTCCTTTCGAATGTATTTTATGTATCAATCAGTTGGATTTATTAAAACCATTTATATGGACTTTTAAAATGTTGATATCAATTTAATTTTGCAGTAGCATTATAAAACTTACTGGATAGGTAGAGTCGACAAATTAGGAAATTATAAACAAGTCCGTTCTGAACTTAATTAATAAGGAAAACTGTATCTAATTAATTAGATTTCTGTCTTAAGTCTCGTCAAGTTTTTGTGGCCATATTTTATAGAAATAAAAGGTCAGAAAAAATTAAAAATAAGAGAACAAATTTCTTTCCTTGGTCTATTTAAAACGCATTTGTTACACTGGTTTGCAACCTTACGAAGACAACATACAAAAAAAACGGTTCTACCTTTTCTAGATATGAAGATAATATATGCTTTCTTATTTTTTGTATAGACGTTTAATAGGTATACTTATGCTAATACTTGTCAGTATTAATCAATTAGTGGCTTTCTATGGTTAAATATTTTTTATTAAGAAAGGATAACCTTGTTTGCCTACATGGAGGTTAACCTTACATTTTTTGCTTATGTTTCTCTCCCTACTTAGTAAACATTTTCCATACCTGGTTAAAGTAAAGGTCAGAGGGGCATTTGAATCTGACCGGCAGACTGTTCACACACACGAAGAACTCGTTGCAGTTTGTCTCGTTTCGAAATGTTTCGAAATCTTGGCGACATCGCGATATTATGGTATCTGGAAAATATATACGAAATACATAAACATAACATTTACATGACGATTACATTCTTACTGGCTATTATATTATTATTACCTTATATCGAAAGTACATAAAGGTAATATGTCAATAACTTTTGTAGACAAAAATGTTAAGAGCGGGCGCACTTCTTTGATTAAACTATCGTCCAGCTGTTGTGCGATTGTCGATTATTCTCAGCCCATTCAACTGTTTAGTAGCACAACTAAAAATCTATTAGTGTGCGCATCTCCATATAAACTCATAGGTACACTCTAAACGTTTCAGATTGATTTTTTTTAAGCTAGCGCTTGACCACGATCCCACCGACTGAGAGTGAAGATTTACAAAAGTGAAGGTCATTATATGTGCAATTTATTAATTATTAACCAAAGAAAACATTTTGTATGAACATAGCAAAAAGTTCGTCATATTTGAGTGTGATATCGATGATATAATGTCAAAGAGTTACATAACTGAAAAGCCACTTTGCATAATATTTGGTGTGACATTTTCAGCGACATCTGACGAAATGTCAAGGGTCTTATTCCATCAATTCATTAATTAATTAAAAAATATTGTAAATAAATAATTTGATGGACTTACTATTTTCTAAAGTCTATTATTTTACCATAAACTTTATGTAATTGTTTAGTGTATTGATAAATAATTCACGGCCGATAATTTCAATCAACATTGTTACATTGGTTATTACATTTATCAAAACTCTAAAAGACAACTAAGCATTTACATGTTGATAAATTGCCTTATTTCCAGATAGCACTGTTCGAGATGACTAATCACACGACATTGAGTTTATATTCTTTATTTGGTTACGCTAAGCTATCATTACCTGTTTCAAAATGTGACGGCAAATGATTAGAATCTAAATCTGTTTTGGGAATTAATGACGTAGTCATGAAACTTAAGTAGTTAAACTCATTATACCATCATGTAAAACTTAATTATCCTACAAGGAATATTTATAAATGGAATAATTGGATACATTTCTTTCAATAGGCCTATAGAGAAAAAAAGGTGCCGATCTCAAACTTCATCCCTTCATGAGACTTTAAGCCTAGTAAGACTAAAAAACTGTCTCTATTTTAATACGTTTGGTGACATATGGTACAACGAAAACCCATTTTTTTTCTCATTTGTATATAAAAGATGAAATTACCTTTAAGTTTTCTATTACTGCAGTCCACATTATAAGCATAGTCACAGTATCCATTATTAGAGAACAGCAATCCTTCAGGACACTCCTGTTCAAACGCCCAGCCGTCCCAGCAGTTAAGGAAGTTACTACAGAGTTTCTGCGAAGGTATTGGTTCCCTCTTCCCGGTGCAAAGGGGATTTATTTCTACAACTGGGTCTCGTGTTAAGAGCAACATTAGCTTGTTCTGGTACACTGGGTCGGTGTTTATTTGTTGTACCACCGCATCGGATACTGGTATCATGTATGCTATGGTAGAACCGCTGAATCTTGATGGCTGGAAAATTAATAAATAAATTTGGTTAACCAAATCAAATTATGATGACGAGAAATTGTGTGTACTCACCCTAAGAAAGCTAAAGAATGGATTCATCAGGTTCCAGAAAATATTATTGTTTGCTCCAAAATCAGTAAGATAAGGATTAGAATAAGTTTTCACTAAGTTTCCTTGTTCGTCATAAACTGAAAACAAACACAATAACATTAGAATTCTAAAAGAACTAACTTTCGCCCGATTCCGTTTGTGTGGAATAAAAAAAATCAAATGTAAGTATCCTTCATGTTCTTTCAGACTATTCTACGTCTAGACCAAATTTCATTGAGATCTGCTCAGCCGTTTGCCGTTATAAATAACGGCATCCAACATACATCCATCCATCCACATATCTAAACCTTCGTACTTATTGTAATAGTAATTAAGCAAGAAAATATTAAAGCAATATGTATAAAAATATAAAAGCTATGTATTTTGAAGGGAATTAAATAACATTTCTCGACTAATTTGAAGGTAGAATTAAATCGCACGACATTTAATCTGAAATCGTGATTAATGTTGTCCGCAAAGGATGTATTAAACATTTTCAACTTGTCGGAAGACATTAGGCGCGTTGCAAATGAGATACGGACAGTTGAATGCGCCTCGTACACTGACACGCAACTTACAAAAGCTTTAACATTTGTTGTATATTCAATGCATGATTAATAATAAATTTCTCCTTTGATTGAACGAGGGATCAATAAATCTTAAAATCAACTTATTCCGGTCATTGACTTACATGGTTACCTTACATTTGTATTCTCAAAGACTTTTTTGTACTAACAAAATTGATGATTCATGTTTTACATTAAATGTTTTCCGTTATTGACGTTTATTGTATTAAAATTAAAGCTTCAATATAATCAAACATTCTTAAATTATACCAAAGAATACAATACTTATGAAATATAAAGATCCAAGTGTAACACGTCATTGTTCAGAAAGCATAATCTTGCAAAAACACGTGACTTAGAATTTATGATCTATAATTGAACTATTTTATAACGTAATATTCGTACAAATCTATACTTCTATACTATTATAATAAAGCGTAAACACACACTTCTTTGTTGCCTAAGATGTCAGCAATTACAGCATATTTTTGAATAAATCTTTCTTTAACAAAAAGCCTTACACTTACACCACGCTTTAGGCTATATATTTTCACGCCATTAAACTTAGGGGGTAAATATTTTGGATAAAAACCCTAATGTGGGAAAGAGACCATAAGTTGCTGCCTACATCAAGGAAGCAAGGTTGCCATGGTTTGTCATATGTCATGTCATTTTGACATTTGCTATTAATAATTTGACAAATGTAAACAACAAAATAAAATTTTCATAATTTCATGCGGATGATGCCGCACGGGAACAGCTAGTTTACAATAAGATTTCTGCAATATTTTGCAGAGTATTAAATAAAATATTCTGTAGAGGATCTCAATTTATCTTAGATTGGGATCATGATTGTATTGCTTTATGGGCACGTAATCGCATAGTAATGATCGGTGAGGTTGGATGTTAGTGCTTTCATTTTGTGTTGAATCCAACCCTAAGTTGCTTCTTACCACGCAATGTCTAGGTCATTGATACAGCACGCAACGGACCGTGGGTTTTCTTTCTTTTTCTGAGAAATTATGATACCCCTTATATGGTATTGTATAAAAGAAATGTTTTTTACTTTTACACAAAAGTAAAAAAAAAACTATTAAAAAATAGAGATAAATACAATAACATTTTTTTATATTTATTCAACTATGTTTGCCATTTTTTTTTAATTGTACTTAAAATAGCGGATAAATATATGCTTTTAGACCTTTCAAAAATATATTATAACCACAAATTGAAAAAAAAAATGCATCGAAATACGATTACAAAAAAAAACATTCATAGTTTTCAAACTTGTTAATATTAATTCTGTAATTAAAAAAATACTTACATAAAAGTCTTCTTTGGCGACTTTCCCCAGGAATCTTCCCAGATAACGTATTTCCGTCATCAGCAACACCACATGCTGCTAACCCCAAAATTATTAAAGTGGTCAATTCCAACATTACTAGCTCTGTTGTAACTCGTAGGCAGTGACCAAGGGCAATGTCAGGGCTAAACGCAGATCCTAGCTTTTATAGAAGCATTGCTACACACATACGTGGGCTCCAGTTTTAGTCTGGACATTAAAGGAAAGCTTAAAAGGATATGTCTGTTGTACAGATCTTGCATGTAATTTTGTACATTTAAATACACGCTTGTTTCAAAGTGTTATTGTCGTGTTGATGTTGTTAAATTTCTTTGTGTACTTTTTTGGTCGATGCAATGCCTTGTTTAAATACTTTATAAAATTAGATTTAAATTTACTCGCTTTATAAGGAAAATTTTTTAAAGAGTGTTTAAATTATGTGTCTTGAGATAAAATGTATTATTTTATTACTTTACCCAGTACTTATCAATGATTTTTTGCTTTAATGCCTAAACGAAAATCAATCATCATTCAAATGGGATATAAGTAAATGTAATAAAAATAAAAGATTTGTTGATACAAGTTTCATAACTCACAATAAACAAATGCAAAGCAAAGAAACAAAAGATGAAGATGTTTTCAAAACACGCTTAATATTTTACAATACAAAATGGTAAGCACTTTATTCTGTAAATAGATTTTATATTCAGTTGTTATTTGTTACATCGTAAACATAGCCAGCTCTTAAAACTAAAGAAGTTTGATAATAAAATTGTATAAAATAAACTCGAATACAACAGTTCGTAGACCCAATATTCTAAAAGACTAAAAAAAATTAAAACAAATATCATTTGTTTCTGTTAAAGTGCTGCGTTAAAAAAAAACTTAAGACTTTCGGTTGTGGGATTGTAGTAAGTTTATGTAATTCATATTATGTACGCAGAATTACTATGAATTTCTTCATAATAACAATTTCATTTAACGTAAAGAAATATAGTGAATACATGCCTTTGATTTGCCGCCGTTCAATCTAAATGCATCAATGCTTCAAGATTCCTGACGGCCATCTTGATAAAATGAACCACGTATCTCATTTGATTCAAACGTATAAAATGATACATTTGATGTTTCCTAGTGCTTTGTGTGAAATGAGTTTGCGAGAGCATTGCACTCAGTGGTAAGTGTTGCTAGATTTAATTAATTGAAAATATTTTTATTTATTGTAATTCACACATTTAAATTGTAAATGAGTACATTGCAGGCGCCTTGTTCTGTGGGCGGATAGGGTGTTTGCTATTTATATTTAGGTAATTACGCCTACCTACGCGTTTTATACACGTCACCGAAGTAAGAAAAAATCGTTTTGTATTTAAAACGTAATGACAACAATTTTGTTTTGATGTTGATATTATAACAAAAACATAGATGGAATGGAAGAAAACATAGCATGTAAATAACACATCCTATGTACTTATGTTGTATACATTTTTAGTTTTAGTGTGTTTTAGTTTTTCTTTTGTTTTCTTTTTATTCATTTATTTTATACTAGCTGTCGCGCGCGACTCCGTCTGCGCGGAATTAAAAAAAAACAATTGCAAGTAGCCTATGTGTTCTTTCAGACTATGCTCTAAACTTGTGCCAAATTTCATGGAGATCCGTTCAGCTGATTAGGCTACAAACGTTAACCAACATTCATCCATCGTAACTTTAGCATTTATAATATTTACATATATTTTAGAGGCAAATATGACGTCTGCAATAAACTAGCGGTGGTTTCTGTAACCAAAAGTATGAAAGCGATGACGCTTTCATACTTTAATTAGATATGAATCTCGCATGAAGTTTCCTTAACACTGCTTTGTTATATAAAATGTCTATAAGGAAATGTTCAAAATTAAATAACCTTTTACAAATTAATTACTTCGTAGAATGCAAAATAGTGAACATCAAGTATATTAATCTTTCCAAACGTTTAATCACAAACTCAACGAACCGTATCAACTTAACCCACATACCTTAGTTCAAACTTATGAAACAGCCGTTTACATCAATTGTTTTGTTGCTTTTATTAAAAGGTATAAATAATCTAATTAAACTAAAAAAATAACAGTTTGAACATTTTTTAAAAAACAAAACAAGTTTTATAATGAACCTTAATAATTATTGTGTTCCAGACATTTTACTTAGTGCTAATTCTCTTGCGGAACGCGTAGAACAATAACAGGATCCAACAGCTTCGAGGAACGTACTCATGAGTGCACAGTACAAGTATATACAGCTTCACTGTTGTGCGAGCGAGAGGGTTGCTGTTAACGTAACCTTTCGCTTAGCCATTCTTCAGCTAAGAACGGATGACAAAAACTGTTATGTTCAGTGCGCTATAGAACTCAGCGCAGGCGTCAAGCTTGTATAAGTCACTATATAGTGACTTTTAACTTATATTAACAATAGTTATTACAAATTACACAAGATGGCGTTCCGGTCGAAGGTCACATTCTTTTTTTTGACATGTCTAATAGGTAAGTGTTTATTTTGATATTTTCAAAACAAATTAGAATACGTGTATGGTAATGGACAGTATCTTTTAAATATTTTAATATGCCTTGAAATCATTTTGTAAATCAGTTTATAAAAGTTATTTAGCCTTATATATAATATTGCTTATTAAAGCAATATTACTAAATACTAGAATGTGAAATAAAGTATTAAAGAACAAGAAATATGTAAGTATCATTAAGCATAAATCAGAAAATTTTTTCTTCATAATACGTATGAATATTTTTTGGTATCCAAGAGGTGAACATTCTTTCTAAGAAAAGACATCAACGCGTTTATCTCCAGTACATCATAGTTTCGTATTAAAGTTAACTCAAAGTAATTCATCTTACATAACATCAAAGCCTTAAATATTGGTTGTATAAATTGAATAAGAATGTCATGGTCATATTAACAGACAGGCTTATACACAAAGCGGATTTTTGGCACAACTTTCTTGCGACTGTGCGCTGAGCGCGGTTAGGTAAGAGAGAAACTAGCGCGAAATGTTGCTACACTACGCTTTGTTTGATTTTGTGTTATAGGTTAAATGTTTTAGGATATATTCATTTCATTATACCAAAAGAATAAATCTTTATAAAATAAAACCTGTTCCTTAATTAGCCGTAATAAAAATAATTACAAATACGGCAAATTATTTTCAAGATAAAACGACATTGACAAATTTTATTTACATAAACTAACTGCTGCATTCGACCCTTTAGTAAATACGGGTCACTTCCCAGTATAGATTTAGTGTAAAATATCTAAACTGACTGTATTAAACGTAGCTGTTGCTCGCGGCTTCGTCCGTGTGGATTTAAAAATTTTAGCCTATGTTACTCACAGATTACCTTTCTAACGGTGACAAAATTGTTACAATAGGCCCAGTAATTTTTGAGTTATTTCAATACATAAAAATACTAATCTTTCCTCTTTTTAATACTATTAATAGTATATTGGTATAACTATATTAGTATTAGCATAGATTATACGATTTGAAGCAATGCAATCAATTACATTGAAAAAGTTTATCCGGAATGGAAAGATTTTCTCATATGGTTAATTCATTCTAGAATTAAATCTACATAGTTATTTGAAAGAAAAAGTTTATCAGCACATAATAGGCTACTGAATAATTGAATTCTAGTTGCAATATAAGGTAAGGTTGAGGTTCAACAGCCAAGGCTATCAGGGAATGCGGATCTAAGCTGAGATACGAATATGTTAGATAAATCTCCGAGCGGCGACATTTTGTCCGACCATCGAACGAACATAAATTTAAACTAAAGTCGTGTGAATTCGTTTTGTATCGTCTTATACGTTTTGGTATTTTCAAGCAGTCTGTTTGTTTTGGATTAACATTTATTGCTCTAAAAAAACCTCTATAGTTTGAATAAATCTTTTATTTATTTGAATAGAAGCCATTTGATGTATTTTAGCCTAAGTCTTAACTTAGTGTTTCATTAAATTTATGTTATTATACTATGTAAAATATTATAAGTGGCAATTAGCTAAACATTTCATGTAGTAAAATTGTCATCTCATAAAAAAAAAAATCATGCTATTAATTTCAAGAGCATGAGGGGCACATACTAGGAAGTTTTCCAGTTGTCAATGTGAACCAGTCATAATCGCTTGCCCTCAGTGGTTTGACAGGAATTACTACCTTTGAGCTGCTGGTGACCTATGAAATTATTTTAAAATTGGAACATGTTTTTGATTGAATTAAATTAGTTAAACCTCATTTAACATATTCTTTTGCCATATTATTCCTTTCTTTTTTTAATATCATATTTGAAAAGTGATAATCACTTAAAAGTTGCTTTATAAGTGTACTGGATTTCAAAAAAAATGATGAAGTGTTTTATCTTTCGATTGCTTACTAAGAAATTTATTTAATTTTACAGTATTAGCGTCGTCAGCGGTACCAAAGAAATCAGGCAGAAAACCAGTGAATCCCCCGCCGCGGGCTGTCGCTGATCCAGAGAAAGATGCTGAAATCACAAATTCTTGTCCAGAAGATGGATTCTTCGCTGATGCTGAACAATGCGATAAATACTACGAATGCAGGTCTGTCAATAAATGGTCCTAATACATATGTACTTGTTAAAGGCAATGATAGTGTGGTTTTCTGTGGCTTAGTCACCCCATGGTAGGCTCCGAGCCCCTCGGTGGGTACTTATAGTGAGCTGATGTTGATATGTTTGAGCCTATTACCCATATCTAGTATGTTTATTATTAAACTATCTAGGCGAAGCTGGGCCTTGCCTTAAATAAATAACACTTAAATATTCCGAGGAATAAGGCAAAACACTTACTATCGCCAATATTTATTTTGCAAAATGCCTTGTTAGTATTATTTGATTATCATGACAAATCTTTAAACGTAAATCATGTCTTGTTTTGTTATATTTGCCATTAATAACTCAGTCTTTTGACAATCGTATAAAGTTTAAAATGCGGTAAATCGTTGTCGAAATATCATATATACTGGGCATATAGCAACTTAACCTTGTTCGTGCATCGACTTTTCGTGATTCGTGCGGTATTACCAATACGTAGGATTTAAAGATGATTTACCTTTTACTATCCGTGACCGTTTCGAGATATTTGCCTTTTGTGTATTATTTAAATATCAAATTCTTCGTGTTACATTAAAATAAAACACTTTATGTAGTAGTCGAATGTTTACTCTTAAAAATTTGGGGTTCTTAATTGACTTTTAAATTCCCCGTATTTTGCATTGTGACACTTTTAAAATATTCAAAACTCTATCAACAGTTTATTCACATCTATTAATCCATTGACTTTTATATTTTTTTTTCAGAAATGGTGAGATAATCGAAAAGCTATGTCCCGATGGCATGGTATTCAATGACTACAACCCATTGGAGGAGAAGTGCGACCTGCCCTTCAACCTGGACTGCTCGCAGCGACCCAAGCTACGTGAGTACATTCCAATGCTAGTATCAAACTGTGTTACAGTGTAGTGTACATATTAATTGAGACCCTGTTTGTTTACCGTTAGTAACTTATACAGGTCTTCACTTGATACAAACACTATCAAATGTTCTTATTGTTACTGCTTTGTTTTTTTAACAAATGTACATATTGTACAATTATAATTTAATGAGAATTCGAGCAAATATTGATACGTGATTAGTTTATTTATTTTTAAGTTAAATCTTAAATGTTTATTTCATATAAAGAATATATTTTATATTTACAGTTATTAATACCTCGGGTTGGATTGAAATATAAAAAAAATCAAGCTCATTTGGTATTAGAGTTTTCGATACGTAGTTTAAAGTAGTTTTGCAATAGAGGAATAGTATTCATACATACTGTGACCTTAGAAAAACCTGTATACTGAATAAGTATTTAACGTGAAACAATTACTTTACGTTTAATTGTCGAAACTTATTAGTAAACGACACACAAATAATGAAAGGTGTTCGCGTGAACTATACTTGTGGCGGTCATTTGTGAATGTATTTGTATCATTCGTGATAAGGATATAGTAAATTATAATTAAAATTGTACTAGTAATAAAATTCACTATCACTCGGAACAAGAAAATAGATTTAGGGTACATGTTTTAGAAGACATTTATCTTTATTTTTAGACTTTAAAATTGATGTATACTTTATAATTTAAATGTTAGCAAACTGTATTATGCAGGCTTTAAAAAAGAAATTGTCATTTATAGACATATAATAAGAAAAAAATTGCAATATGCATATTACTATAGTTGGTATTTAATTAAATCAAATATTCTCACTACCTCTTCGGTCGATTGATTTTTTGAAATGTTAGAAAAACATAAATATATACGTTCTATTAACATTTAGTTTGCCAGCAATTTAAAGGTCAGGATACACGTGAGTAGATTCGGCACGTGTTCCTATTTTAATACCGCGTCGCATCAGTGTATACCCCGGCTATATTGTAAAGGTTATCTATAACGAAACAACTTTCACATCTCAAGGGAGACGCGGCCTTGAGCGACGTAGAGAATACGTCGCACCCACTTTGGTAGAGTTGTCCGGCGGAATTAATATGCCTTGTACTTCCAGGTTTTATATGGTACAATAAAATGTCATGCACCATTATCACTCTATACACTCTATACGACTCTATACACTCTATACACAATAATCGATTCGCATTTATTCTCTCCTCAATTGTGAAAATTTTGTACATATTTAAGTATATATCTTGACAAGACTATTAACAAGAATCGTTCGCTTAGTAATGATATAAATTTATACTTCACTTTTACATATTCAAATATTTAAACCGAAACAGAAGACAGAAAATGAAATTGTGTAATCGAAGAAAAAGTTAAATTTCTCATTAGACGAATTTTGAATTTTCCACCAGATACTTATTCCGTAGAAATAATGAGAAAACAGTAATCTGTTATTTACAATGAAATGTTAATTTGATAATTAAATTTTCAGAGGAACCCATACCGTCACTACATTGTGTACGTCAAAACGGTTACTTCTCGCACGAGGACCCGAAGGAATGCGGCAAGTTCTATTACTGCGTGGACGGCAAGTTCAATATGATAACGTGTCCTGACGGCCTTGTGTACAATGACAAGACCGGCATCTGCACCTGGCCTGATGAGGCTAAGAAGAAGGGATGTGGTGCTGCAGGTAAGAGAACATCAATAATTGAAGAACCACTATTTTATTTTAGTTACTAACTTTCGCCCGTGACTTCGTCTGCGTGGAAATAAAAAAAAAACAAAGAGGAGTACCCTGTGTGTTCTTCCAGAGTATCCTCTTTAATTAATACCAAATTTCATTGAAATCCGTTAAGCCGTTTAGGCTACAAACTCTAAGAAGCATCCATCTAAACTTTCGGACTTATAATATAAGTATGAATATTGTTAGAAGTCTTTGACTTAGTAAGAAAAAAAATGTCTTTTTAAACGTAAAAATGCTTTAGCGAAAACGAAGTTATCAGATTTTTTCATTTTATTTTACACCATTTTACTGGATTTAAAAGTATAATTTACCTCTTAATTAATCCAGTAAAAAACCCATCTATCTAAAACGTTAATGGTGGTTTTTTTGAGACTCTAAGTAACCATTTAGTTGGCCTTACATTAAGTCAATAATTTATTAATTAATTACACATGTCTTCGTTCACAGAGGTATTTCAATTCGACTGCCCCCCTGTCAACGAGACATTCGGTCTGACACACCCGCGTTACGCCGACCCTGATGACTGCCAGTTCTTCTACGTGTGCATCAACGGCAACACGCCTCGTCGCTCCGGATGCAAGCTGGGACAGGCTTTTGATGACGTCAACAAGAAATGCGAGTGGTCTAGGAAAGTTCCCGAATGGTACGTATAGGCAGAACATATCTAATTATTTATCTTCATATTAGCCAAAAAGTTCAGTCTGTATGTAATACTAGTTATGGCCCGCGACTTCACCTGCGTGAAATTAAAAAACAAAAGCCAGTAGCCTATGTGTTCTTCCAGACTATCCTATACGTCTTTGCCAAATTTTATCGCGATCTGTTCAGCTGTTTAGGCTACGAACTCTAATAAGCATCCATACATCGAAACTTTCGCATTTATAATATTAGTAAGATGTAATATGAGAGGAGTCGAATAGATCGTCAATTTATTACGTTCTAAATTTAAAACATTCTTTTCAGCGCGGACTGGTACAAAGGTCAACTGACCGACGCTGAACTCGACGCTCTGGAGAACCCGCCCACTCCCAAGCCCAAACCCGCAGGCTCCCAGCCCTCGAGACGCAAGCCACAGCGCCCTAAAGCGAAAGAAGTTCAGATCGAAGAATAAGCAGTTAATTTAGTTAAGCTAATAAAATAAGTTTATAAACAAATGTTTTGGTTTTATTTATACGAAAGTACTTGCCGTCGAAATCGTCCTAACTTAAATTTTGAAGGAGTATCAATTCTATTAAAAATGTTGTGGAACTATGACATCACATCATCATTAGGGTTGTAAAATACATCCACGACATTGTTTAATTTATCGATAGTCGATAAAAATAATTTTGACAATAAAACATTGGTACAAATTAAACTCATTAATCATTGTTTAAATAACAAAACAACTTTTAAATATATTGTTTTATTTTTTTCACATAATATTTTTTTTATTTACATTTTGTTCGTCGAAGTTATTTACATAGACTTTATTTAAATATATATACTCTCGAAATGTTAACACAACATATAGTTATATTTCTACGGTAACTAATATCACGTTCAATTCAATCTGTTATCAATAACTTTACATGTAAAATAATGTAGGACAAAGTACGAGATGAGAATTGATTAAGAAAATATAAAAAAAAATCTCCTGTTACATCGATTTGAATGAAAAAAGAGTTACTGAAATAAATAGGATTCGGTGGAAATATTTCCAGTATTTTTTTTTTGTTGTTTTTCATTAAATTAAATAAAATATCACAAAACGAAAAGGAAAATAGCAAAATTAGATTATTCGTCTCCCTATTTATATTTTACCGTCATTAAAATGTTAATTTAAAAATTGTTCAAGTTATTGAGAGGTGGAAGATATTAAAAATTCGTTTTCGTTTTGCAATATACAAAGTTTTGAGTAGAAGGAATTACGCATGACCACAGTGGGGAACCAGCTCTGGGTCTTCGCAGGTGAGGCTCTGATCGTCGAATACCTTGCCTTCACCACAGGCGATCAAACGTGGTTGACCTTCCACGCAGGTGATCAGTCTGTGGCAGTCACCGGGGACCGGGAATCTGGGGAACGGCCAGAACTTCGCCGCTTGCGAGTGAGATGGCACCTTCGTTGGGCATTTGAATCCGATGACAGCTAGAACAAATAGATTTGAAATTAGTGTTTTAAAACGGACACGGAAACAGACAAGAATCTTCAAATACGAATATCCTTGTCCGTACCTTACATTAAATTAAAAAATGCCAAATTGACATTTTTTTAAATTTAAGTTTGAGAACAACGCCATCTATGTAAGGAATACTAAACTAAGACTGTTTTGTTTTTACGCTAGTGTAAAACAGTTTCCCTTTTTTTCACAGATTTCGAAGAGAAACTTTGTTAGTTATTTAATGTTTTTAATTACGGATTTATAGCATTTCCCTTACCTTCAGGGTTACAGTAAGGCTGCAGGAGATCAGGCCAGTTGCACCCGTGGATCCTCTCATCATAGACGAGTCCGGGCGTGCAGGGCTCCTGCTCGGGGATACCGAAGGCGCACTTAACATAGCTGGTGGAGCACTCGTGACTGTCCGGGTAGATTCCAAACTGGTACTCGCAACCGGGTGTAGAATACGGCGTCACTAGAAAAGAAACGTTTTTGTATCTTAAGTCAGATTCAATTTATTGTATTCATAACTGCCTTCATTTTAAAATACTTCAATCTTTTTCAAATTTTTACAGAAACTTAACAACGTAACGATTGAAAGCCAACGTTTGCCTAAGCCATAATATTAACTTTGGTTTTTAGGTCTTTAACGAATGATTTTTTCCTTAGATGCCTCTGGGCATTCTTTAGGCTTTTTTTATTCCATTTCAGTTAATACGTCAAATTCAAAGTTCAAAATGCAATATCTTACAATCAGCTTTCCTCTCTCCACACTCCACAGCCCAGTGGTAGTTACAGTGGTTGTGCACAGCGCCTTTGCCGTCGAACAGTAATCCATTCTCGCACGTCTCTACTGTCAACGTGCCGTTTGTACACAGGAAGAACTGGTCGCAAAGCTCTGGATGCGCGTACGCCTTAAATCAATTTTTAGATTATTAAAAAAAGCTAGTAAATGTTTATGAAACTAGGACAAATAAATACATTATTGCTTTAGTAAATCGCGATAAATTTAATTTTCACTATTTTTATTGTTTGCAATTGTATATTTCTATATTTTTTTTGTACTTAATTTTTAAATATTTACCTGAACTCCGTGTTGTTCAGGACATTGTGGCGCATTTTGCAGAAGAATTCCTGCGCTTGCTGAAAAAGAATAAAAAAGGTTGGATATTAAAAATAAAATATTCATGACTGTTTCTTTGTGGACAGTCATATTTATATTCATATTTATATTTTCGTCGATTGTTCATTAAATTCATATAATTTACATACGCTGCCAGTTTCATAAAGATCCAGTCTCACGTAGTCTCTAACATGTTTTTGCTGTTAATCATAACTCAAACAAGTCGCTTGAAAACGTGCATAATAAACGAAACAACCAATCCGCCAACTATGTGTGTTCATCACCATTGATAATGTGACTACTGATCTTGTTGTCTTAGGATTTACGAACGAGATGGGCGCAAAATTATTAAGATAATAAAAAAATGTTTTGCTAAATTATTTAGGATGTAACGACCATGAACAATGTAAATAGAATGTTGAATTGATTAAAATGCAGTTATTTGATGCTATGTCCCAAAAATTACAATGTTTTTAATTATAAGAATTGTTGAAATATTAAATCATTCCACGTGGTTATCCCAAAATATATCTATTTTTTTATTCAAATTTAACTGCGGAATATCACAAATATTTTAATGAATAAAAACTTTGGGCTGAGAAATTCTTTACCACATTGCAACTGAAATCTACACAATTTAAATAGAATTATTTAATGTTTACTTATAAATAGGTAGTTCTTAATACGCTGACAACACTGCTACAAAAATTAGTTTAACCGTAACTGAAAATTTTCTTAAATAATATATTTGACCTCGTTAGCACGCCTAACGTTACTAATCACAATAATAACAATTGAAAATTATAACTAACGACCTCTGGCGGCGGCGGCGCGAAGGTTAACAATCCGATTCGCTAGTTAAACACCAACATCTTGTTAAAACGAAAGCAACCTCCTTAATTAATGTTACTCATAGGTTATTTGTTAGTTTTACTTGTGAAAATAAATATAGTAGGCTTTCAAATGTAATGCAGTAACTATCATACTAATATTATAAATGCGAAAGTTTAGATGGGTAGATGGATATCTGTTAGAGTTTGTAGCCTAAACGACTAAACGCATTACGATGAAATTTGGTATAGATGTAGAGGATAGACTGGAAGAACACATAGGCTACTCACTTTTGTTTTTTTTTTTTTGAATCCACGTGGACGGAGTCGCGAGCGAAATCCAGTATACAAATAAACCGACCCTTTTATTGTCTTGTTAAAAAAACATAGTCAACATGTTTTAGTATAAAGGTATCTACATAATAACAAAGATAAAGTTACATGACCACAACATTGTTTCTAATCGGAGGAAAGGAAACTGTTCCTCTTCTCATCACGTAAGAAGGAAAGTAAATAACGTTTTTGTATTCTACGCACGTAGATAAATCTCACTTGACTATTTTACGTAAAAGAACTTGTGTAGAATTACTAAGAGTGCTTGACATTCTTCCATCTTTAAGAAACAATACAATATTATACTATAACAACTTTTCACTTAAGCTTATAAAATGCTAGTAAATAAGTTAAATTGAAAACATTTAAATACGTTCGTAACGTGTCAGACTGCATTATGCTCTTTAGAGAAAATTACCTGCTCCTAGCTAACGGATGTATAACGATACTTTTTAAATCTTGTAGAATTCACCTTTTATGTATATGTACTGCGTTCAGTGTAAAAGTGAGAGATAGGTTACGTATAGAAACGAAAAGGTTAGTTTGGTTTAGAAAAAGAATACCCGAAAGGTGACAAGATATCAATTACAATATGCCTTTGTATTTAAACTATGCAATAAGACATCTTAAACTGATACAAAGCACGAGCACGCCACAGCTATTAATCAGTAGACTATCGTGTGATTCAGAACTTAGTACGAAGTGCGACTGATCGTGAACGCAGCAATGCTTGTTACACGAAGCGAAAAATCGCATCAGACTATTTCTATTAGTAAAGCAACCGCACTAACTGATATCTTTTATCAGATTTTAACAGTGGTAGTGCCTGCTTTAACATCTTAGCACGAATGGGCCGGCACGCCCGGTGTAATACCACGACCACACAGAAGACAGGCGTGAAATGGAAGCAATTCCGTGTTTCGTTTGATGAGTGTGGTGCCGGAGGCCTAATTTAAGTCCCTTTCTCTTTCCACCCTTTTCTTATATAGAGAGAGGATGGGAATGGGAAGTGGATTTGACGGTAGAGGAGATGCATAGGAAGGGGAAATATCCTCTTTATGTGCGTCCTCCTCCGTCGGAAAAGGATAGGCAACGCATCTGCAATTGCGGATGTCTATGGGTAGCGGTCCCTTCGCCATTTTGGCGTATTTTAGGTGGCCGGTTGCTTGGTTGCCACCTTATGTGATAAAAATAAAAGATAAATTGCACCATTCGCGGTTACTTGATTAGTGGAATGAAGGTGTAAGACACGACGTCACGACATCAGATCTCGGCCATCGCATCAACGACCGCCACTTTTACTTTTGCTGAATCAGACGCATGTATGTTTGTATACATAGTAATTAACATATGCTGATGTGAAAAATCCGCTATATAGAATTCTTCATGAATTCTTCACTAATTTAGGAATTATAAAAAAGTTTAACTGATCAAAATACTATAAATATTGTAAGCTTTTCGTATTTGAGATACAGTTGTTAATTAATTTCGATATATTATGAGTATTCTACGCGACCTTATTGTAAATTATTAATCATTCCATACTTGGACAGTTTGTCATATAATGATTTCAGTAATAGCAAGTAAGGTCGCATAGAAATATTAAAATGCTGCATGATGCATTTTGCGATTTTTTTAATTAATCTGTAGGTTTTAACGTGTTTTGTATTTATTCAACATCTGCAAAATAAAAGCTTACCAGTTTGATTTGTTATAAATTTCTGGTTTTTGTAAAAAAAAGATGTGTAATAAAATGAACAATTAAATCGAGGATAACTGCAAATCAACCTTTAATACAATCAATTCTTTTCTGTTGACATATGTAAAGATCAGCTATGTGAAAACTTTACGCAAATTTGTGTTACTGAACTATAACAGAAATTGGATTTGTTTAATTAAGTTTTGATTAAATAATTAATATGTGAAGGTTAAAAGTTAAATTAGTTGAAAATATTTCATTAAAAAATCTAATAAAAAAACCAAGAATGTTTCTCTAGTTATATAAAAAACCGGTTGAGAAATGTCAATAATTTAAGCCACTAAAATTTATGAGATTACAAAAACAAAAAACATTAAAAAAAGTGGATAAAACGAATATAATATTTTACGAGCAATGCAACATTTTAGCCGCCAATAGAGGCGGAGAAGCGAAAGTAGTACTAACTAGTGGTCAGCCTTGATGCGTTCGCGCAATGCTTTGCTAGGCGCACGCGTTTTAATAATAATATTTTTTTGTTTTAAACTAGATAGTAGATAAAGGCAATAGAAAAAATCATTATATCGCATGTTTATTGTAACTTAATATCCATAGAAATAAGCCTATTGACTCTATTTGAAGCATATTGTGTTCGTAAATGAACAAAGAAATTATACCACGTCTTTAAAAAAATGAATAATGGATTTTTTTAAATGGTCGATCGGTCATTGTCACAGGTTAGAGTAAACAATAGCAGATAATAAATGCTATAATACAGAGGTTTATTACGAATATTTGCATGACAATAAGAAGGTTTTCGTAGCGTCATTGATAACATTTGTAAGATATTTGTTCGAGTATTTATATTCGTTTTAATAATCTAACACAATTTTTGTCGATAAAGTTACGAAAACGTCTTGACGAATATTCGTGATAGCCCCTGTGATCGTAATTCTATACCTATTTTGATGTAATCGCGTCAATACTTAATTGAATTATGAACAATAAATATATTTATATGACTCAGATTGATGACAAGGATGTCATCGTTTCCGCAGACGTTTCCACTGTTACGTAACATTGTAAGATGACTGCGGACAGGTTTCACCGCACCTTCCGCAGTTTTGTAATTGTATTATTCAATGAATATTTTATCGTCTTCACTTTTAGTATACGACACCCGCTAAAAAATAAAGATAGAATAACAACGTGAATTTTTCGAAGTTATTTCTAAAATATTGAAGAAAATTCGAAATTGTAAATTATTGCTTGTGCTCGGCCTGAAATAGTTCGATGCCATCGGATTGACTATGAATGATTATTTTAAATTATTTTGTAACACTATCTCACAACAGAATAAAAAAAATCAAATCACATATTTAGACTAGTGGTTGCCCGCGACTTTATCAGCACAAGATTAACAAAAAGAAGCCTGTTATTGCCGCATATGAACATCAATTACCCTCTTCTGCCCCATCAAAATAGCATCATCCATTTCAGAGATTACCAAGAATAAACGCGGACTTGCGGACAGACAGAAAAAAAATCTATAGCAAGACAAATATGCATTTAAACCGTGTGTTCGAAGTATAACTTATTTTTAATATTACATACAGACACTACAATTTTATTAAAATAGATAGATTATAGATAGCTTGTGCAGAATGTTGTAACTAGGTGAACGTACAAATGATGGTATTCTGAGTAATTGGCTCGTTTAGCGATTGGTTCATTGTATATCGTACACATTACTGGAGCGCCATCTGCTAGTCGTGAACGAAAAACGTGATAACTTTAGAATGTTACAATTTAAAACTTTAAGGGCCTGTTCCACCAAAAAGTTTTTTTTTTTATTACAATCCAATGTGCAAAATATGCGATGGAAATATCGGATTTTGTTACCTTATCTGACAGTGACGTCATTTTTAAGCTATCTGAGCCTCTATCAGCCAGTAGTGGGACAATAATTTTAATTAATATACTATAACTGTTTAATGTAACGTAACAATTTAGTAGCCCTTTTTAAGACCATATGGTAAAGGGTTTCACATGAGTTGGAGATTAAATAAGACAAGGTTAGAATCTGTAAAATGCTTAGAATGTATGAACTGGTTCATTGAGTATGTTATCCACTTGATTAATTTAAAAGTTAAGTTATAAAACAAAATAAGAAAATTACTACTAAAATGACGATTGTAGTTTAATTTAGAAGAGTAAAACATAGAGTATACCCACATGTAATGGATAGACTGGGCAGAAATGGTGATGATACAGTTATACAGAAATCATAACATGTAACATCCTTTTGGAATTCATCATCACCAGCACTATACGTGCACACCGAAGGCTCGGAGCCTACCCTAAATTAGGGTGACTAGGCCATAGTCAACCATGCTGGTCCACTGCGGGTTGGTTGACTTCACAGATATCTTGGAATTTCTTCCCCAATATCAGCAGGTTGCATCACGATGTTTTCCTTCACCGTAAAACCGTCGGGTAGATTATGTACATATGAAAATTCTAAAAATCGAATATCACATTGGAACACGGCGGGAATCGAACCCAAGACCTGTAGATAACAAGTTAAGTGCTTAAACCACTGAGCCACCGACGCTCCGGAATTACAACCATGATAAAATTACTTAAAAGTTTCATTGAAATAATTTGATCAGATAAGTGCGAAAGAAACCTTCATATTAATGGCTTATCGTTAAGTGTAATAGTTACATTTATTCCGCACTGTAAAAAGTTGTAGACTTGTTTATATTTGTTAATAAGTAGTTGTTTATGGAACGTATTTCAGTTTGTAGTATTAACTAAGCAAAGTGGTACAGTGTAAGAGTATTAGTTAGACAAATATGGCCTTTTAAACAAACAATAGAAGACAATGTGTGAAAATTCATAATACCAGCTTTCTCTAAGGTCTATAATGGTGTAACAATATTTCTAACATGCACAATGCCATTGAATATCGATACTTATGATTTTACGTAACTTCCTGTTTAATCGGTCGGCAAATTGTTGACTGATTGCAGGAATAATTTGTAGTAGATATAGAGGCGATACACGCATTTTAAAATCAAATGTTAACATTCCCTACAAGTATACCGTAAGCTGGGGTATAATTTGAGTTATTTTTACTATTATCAAAAAACATAAAACAATATGTTACAACAGTTATTTTAATACAAAAGGAGACGTAGAAGACAAAAGTAAGAGTTCAGACTCGTTGATGTCTTTTGTATGTTCCTACTAAACTAATACTATTGTTGTGTACATTCAATAGATCTTATTTTCTAATTTATAACGTTTATTGTAAATGTTTCTTCTGATGCTTTGCTTCGATCTTTTTAAATTTAAAGGCAGTGCAATTTCATATTCCCATTCTATTCAGATTTGATTGATTCATAAATGATTTTATATAAATTTTTACAATTCAACAAGGAATATTCAACAGTGTAACCTTTTGTTATGTAACAGTGAAACTTCGGTCGTGTTAGACTACGGAACTTTATTAACCTTTGGCGTCCACGATTTACTATACAGAAAGTTTTGCTTCCGTCTGAATCCAAGCTTAATTTACAGATAGTTTAAATTGTCACTACAAACAGGTACAGTGTACATTTAGTGTAAAATTAACCATACTTTAGGTTATTTACTTTCAATTTACATCTTATCCTTCTACTAATAGATAATGTGTTATTATTAACAAGAAATATCGATTCGGCCAACACGTGAATTACGGCCTTAGGATATAATTGTTGTAAATAGAGCTAGTTTCCACCGGTGTAGTTGCCCAACCGATTGGAAAGGGAGTCGGAATTGGTTTGTGTTCGTACAAGGCCCACACCTGTCCGTCGCCGGGCAAAAATAACGGCGACATTTCGACCGCACTGAATACGATTTATTCACTGAAAAGTTTCGTAACAATTCCTTAGTGAAAGTTCAGTAAGGGAAAAGGGCGATTTAATAATTGCTCCAGATTTTTATCAGAACAAGGTCGTATATAATGTTTTATAATACTTCGCAACACACGCTGCGTGTAACAGTTATTTTAAGAATTCTTTTATGTTTCTGAATATCCATATTACTTATATGTGAAAACTTCTTGATAATAAATTCTACAAGCTAATTTGTACCGAAGGTGATTATGTGACGGTTATGAATGTTACATGATCACAGTTTTGGTAACATTAGTCGAACACCTGTCTCGATTTCTTGAATATCCAGTTTTGTGTGTTAAGCATACGAGTTTTATCTTATTTTACATTTTAGAAATAATAAAGAGAGAACAAATTTGATGTCAAAGATTAAATATCAGATAATTTAATTTCTTTAGATTTACTTTTAATTGTTGTTCTAATGCTTGGATATGTTTAGTTAGTATTTAGATGTGAATTAGGCCATTAATGAGTTTCTTACAATAATATGGAGATTTTTTATATGTTATTTTATATATACACTGTATAGTTACATCTCTAGAGTAAATAAATTGCTTAATCATAAGTGCTTTATAGGTTATACACAAAGATGGCTTATAAAACTTAGTATAGTAACCATGTTAATTACAATTAGTAAGTTAGGTTATAATTAAATTAATTAATTATGAATGTAATTTAATTAAATGAATGATTGAATATCTTACCATAAGCAATAGAAGCGAGTAAATACGCGAACTGTACACAAGTCCTCATGATGGCGTGTTTGTTTGTTTGCGTTGCGACGTCCGCGCGTTTTACTGAGCCCGGCGGTACTGGCCGCGCGAGCCACAGCCGGCCAGCAGCGGCGTTGCGTTGTTATATCTATAGTGGGAATATAAATTTGTCAATTATTTGTTTGTTTTATGATATTCTTAAAATCACTCATTGCATTATTTTTATCATCTGTAATTTCATTATAATGATTCAGAATGTGTTTAGTGACAGTTACATTTTTTTTATATACCAAGGTTTTTTTTATTTTTCGTATAGAAGTAAAGAATAGCTTTATTAATCGTATTTTTCTTGTATAAAATATTTATTCATCAAGTACTTAAGATCCCCAATCTACCACATTAATTTGATAATGAACGTTACAAAAATTTTAAAAAGTAACTTCTTGGAAATAACTTATAATAAAGTAAGGATTGCACTATGAATAGTGCATATGTCTGTATTGAGTTCGAGTCACCTATTACGAAAACGGCCATATACCTCAAGCGGCGTGCTTTGTATGACAATTTCATACACGGATCAAGTCTGTCTAGATAGAATATCAAGAATAAATGTGCATTCAAAATTATACTCTATCGCTCAAGAATAAGGCTTGAAATGTTCCACCTGAATTGCAGATGTAGTTTCTTTCATTAATCTTATTTTTTACTAGAATTATATACAGCATTCAACCTTGTTACAATTTTGTATAATAAGGAAATATGTATTTTAGTTTTCTGATACAATAAATTGTAACACACGTACATGGTTTCCTTGATTTCCTTTAAATTTCGATCTCTCTAAAGTTAGTTAACATTAATCCAGTGTACTTTTATTAACAATCTTTTTATTATTAAAAAAGAAGAGACAGCATTCTTAATAAGTGATAATTTCCCAAACACTTTTAATCCACCTATTCAAATAGTTTAAAATTAGAATACGAAATTGTGTACGAACGATATTCAATTGTTGGTAATGACCTCTAAACGAAACATTCTCGAACACAAGCGTCAAAATTAATCAGAAATTAGACAGTGAAGGTAGACTTGATTGTCACGCTAAGAGGGGGCGCACACCTTTGACTAAACTATCTCACATCTGCGATTGTCAATTGTTTCGCAGCCAAATCAACTGTTTAGTTGAATAACTAAATCGAGTAGTGTAGCACTTACATATAAATTCATAGGAATCAAAGCAAGACGAAACAGTCGTGCGATAGTTCAGTTTCTGGTGTACATACGCTCTAATAAGCCTTATCCATTGCTGTTGTTTTATCTTGTCACAAGAGGATTACTTAAGATTAAGGATCGAGTTGACATAAAAAACTTTAAGATTATTCTGTCAGCTTAATTCGTTTCGATATTTGTTCACATTGATTCCTATGTAAATTAGTTATTCTTAATAAATTTATTTATTTACTATAAGCGTTGTAGTAGTTTAATTGTTATGAACCATTTTTTTTTTCACCTATAAAAATCTTATTAGATAATTACTAAATTATTTGGTTGATTGACCATTTAGAAAAAGAGAAGAAGAGAGAAGTTACTTAATAATTAATCAATCGTTTAAATATTCGTTTATAATTTTACGTACTTGCTATTACAATTTTCAGATATTTTTTAACGTTTTAAAATTGTGTCACATAGAGTTATGTCTATGATTTACCTAGATTTACGTTCATATTTGCTATCAATTGTGTCGTTGCTCGGCGACCAGCGATCGGCGACCGGCGACCAGTCCAGCCGGCTCGCTTACGTCAATGTGACCGAACTCGGTTGCACAATGCGCTACAATTATACACCGTAAATGGATCGCAATCAAGCCTACTATTTGTGCATAATCTTATTTGTTATCACATCTGCAATCGTTTTTATACAATCGATTTTGATTATTGATACAATATCGATTTTGATATAGGTTTGTTCAATATTGCATAATGTCGTTATTCGAAGTATACATATGAATAGCCGTTTATCTGTCAATCAAACATTGGAAATAATGGAATATTTAAAAGTTTAAAAAGATGCTGTCATGTTACTTTAATTAACGAAAACAATAAAACCCCTTTAGTTCTAAGGTCTTTACCTGAAGACGATAAGGCTGTCTCTACCTTATCAAACAAAAGGCAGAACGATTTTATCTATATATTCCGATTATTTCGTGAGGCATTTGTTTTCTTTGGTTGATTTATTGCTGGTTTCCCAGCTACATTTAAGCGTTCGATAGTGTTTTTGGTTCGATAACTTCATGAAGTGCGTTTCCGAACTACGTATATTGAGTTTTACTCGGTTGAAAGTTATGTGAACCCAACACTAATGAATCACTAAGGAATGATAAAATAAATGTAAGAAGTGTCGTATTTTCTATCGGGTACATTTTTCTTTGTTCGTGATTAATTCTAACATTGATGTTGACTTTAACAACATATTTAGTAAGGTATTATTTATAGTAATAAAGTACTGCGAAAATGTTGTAATAAACCTTTCTCTCTATTAGTCAATCAAGACCATGCCCATTTATTGACCAAAATTTTATGCAATTTGTACTCAAAATTTGTATTTGCTAATTTATTATTTTGTAATTATTTTAAGACAGAGGTACTTTGTTATGTTTTTTCGTCACAAACCAAGGTTATGTTTCAACAACGCGTAATTAATATTTTTTATGACATTCTTAAATATTGACTTGAAATTTTGTTTTACTTCTTACCGATATTATAAATACGAAAGTTTATCTAGATGGATGGATGGATGGTTGTTTGTTACTATGGATTTCCAGAACAGCACAACAGATCTTGCTGAAATTTTGTCATAGATCTAGACCATAGTCCGAAAGAAAACATAGTCTACATTTTTTTTATTGTGTTGTTGTTGCGTATTGTCTTCTGAGCGTATGCGAGGCTGTATGTATTTTTGATGACATTCTTCATGTAGTATCGTAAGGTTCCAGTCATATTTGTTACTAGCTGTTCCCCTACGACTTCATCCGCATAAAATTATGAAAATCTTATTTTTTTGTTTACATGTGTCAAATAATCAATGGCAAATGTCAAAATACCAATTACCTTACTATGGTAATTTTGCTTTCTTGACTTTGTTGGCAGCAACTTATGGTCTCTTTCCCACATTAGGGTTTTTTTTTCAAAATATTTACCCCCTAAGTTTAATGGCGTGAAAATATATAGCATATAGCGTGACCTAAGTGTGCGGCTTTTCATTACAAAAAGAATTATTCAAAAATATGCTGTAATTGCTGATATCTTAAGCAACAAAGAAGTGTGTGTTTACGCTTTATTATAATAGTATAGATAGAGCCATAGGTATAGCTAGCTTACTACTTATGATAAATCATTTAAAACGTTGAAATTATCTGTTCAAGTTACTTTACACAATTTCGGCCTCGCCCAGGATTTGCGTAAATACCTATTTCCTGATCGTACAATTTGGTCTAATCTTTCGTAATATCACATTTACCTTGCAATTCTTGTTCACGAACAGAATGTACCTAAGAATTTAGTTCCGCAACGTTTTGCGCGGCCGCCACTTTGCTAATATATTCAATTTCAAAATAATGTTATTAACTGTAGTGAATAATTATAATTTTTTGAAATGTGTAGCAGTATGAGGTATTAGAAATATTAACAGCAACAGTGACAATTTTCCTAACGATTTAAAGAATTTGTCTGAACATAAAGTGAAACATGGTTTTGTGGGGTACATTCCAGGGCTAGAGCAAGGAAGTTTTTTGTTTATTATTTTGGTACTTTTATAGCATGATTTTTTTTATTATTGCCACATCCACATACCTATGTTTCTAATATTCATAGTAATTTTGAATATTTTATCATCGATTCATTTTAACATGAGGTTTCGTTTCATTTTGAATCAGGGAAATCAATAAAAGTCAGATTGTTAATATTAATTACATTTATTATTTATAAGTCTTACAAACTATCAGGAGGTTACTTAAGTAAATGCAGCTCACGCCTTCTTCGGTAATTTATTCTTTTCCAATGGCTGCCCTTCGTAATAGTTTTCACTAGAAATAGAAGATTAAATTACAATTTAAAATGATTACTGTAGAAGAAAATTTATATTAAATTTATGTTAGTCTGTGTCAAATTTTATTTGAGTAGTGAGTCTGTCTCTATGTCCTTGAGTTGTTAGTACCAGTCGACTACTGGTATAATCATCATCATCATCCTCCTCCTCCATATCCTCCATATCCTACTCCCTTGGAGTCGGCGCAGCAGGTCTTTGTCCTCCACATAATTCTATCATACGTCAGTCATCACTTTTTGATCATGTCACCTTTCACACAATCCATCTTTCTAGATACATCTACTAGTATTATAATAATTTAAAACAGAACTAAACAATTTCTTACCATCCTTGTACTTTTTCCGGGTCATCGCACATGAAAGTGTCTTCGTTGTAAACCTTGCCAGATGGACAACTGCCCTTCTGTGGTTGTACGCCGTTACGACAGATGTAGAATTTCTGGCAGTCCTCGGGATGCGGGAAGGTGGGGTGAGGGAGTGCACGTCCGTTGGGACCTACTACTTCGCCGTCCGGGCACGAGAAACCATCATCGAGGACATCTATAACAAAGAAGTGATATTCTTAGTAAGGGTGGGCACACACATAAGTCTAAACTATCGCACAACTGTTGTGCGATTGTCGATTGTTTCGTATCCAATTCTACTGTTTAGTTGCATAATTAAGATCGAATAGTGTACGCACATCCATAAAAGCTCATAGGAATCAAAGCGAGACTAAACGAATTTAATTTGAAAGCTGACGCATGTTTTCTTATCCCAATTGCACATAGTACTACTAAGCAATTTTTTGAATTATACCTTTGGTGATATGTTCACAGATCCGATCGACTGACTCCTTCCAGTCGCAATTGGAAGTTTCCTCGTCAAAGTAGAGGCCGGGCGGGCAAGGCAGCTCGTTAGGCACGCCGTCAGAGCAGTAGTAGAACTTGTCACATGCCTGAACAATACAAACAAGTTTTTTTATTAAATAAGTTCTTCAACAGTTTCAGTTGCTTCACAATTAAGATTTTTTAGCGTAGTATTTGGAAGGCTCGTTAAATCGCAAATTAAAATCATATTTTTAGAGAAAAATAATCTTGTTTACCTGAGGATCGGGATGTTTGAAATATCCGTTCTGTCGTGGACAATCTTTTGTCGGTTTTGGTTCTTCTGCAAACGTGACAAAGAAAACAAATTAAACAATGAAATTCAAGTATGCTATAAGTAATTTAAAACATTCAATTATGACCAAATTTACAAAATCAATTAATGTTTTAAGTATTTTCCGAATGTCATGCTGGGTCAAATAACTTTAGGTCACATTCATCAAAATAAATGATCTACCTGACAAAGATTGATAAGTCTGACAACAGCAAATTTAATGCATGATTTATCACGTCTGCATAAATTCCAGTTATACCATACAATGGATTTAGACTCAAAGCAATTAGTGTGTATTCATATTCCCGTATAAGTTCAGATTTAAATGTAAACCTGTCAACCTTTTATCATCAGGAGAAACTGAACAATGTAACTTTTGAATTGCAATTCTGTAATAGCTGTCTTTTGCTAACTCATTGCCACTCACAAACTCGTTTAGAGTTTACTGAAGGAGTCTTTATCTGAGATTTCTCATGGAAAATTCCACGCCACGGGAATCTTTTAATCATCACTAAATGTCACTGAGTCTAGCATTTAATGATTTAAACAACTTACGTAATTCTTTCCTGTCCCCGCAGTCGACGTTAGACGGGATATCACATCGTTCTTTGTTGGGGTTTTCATCAGAGAATACTAATCCGTCAGGACATAATTTTGTTTCCGCCACACCTGAAAGAGATTCAAATTTTATAATGACAGTTTTAGATTAAACTAGATTAATTGTAATAAATACATGAAATACGATTAACAATTTTTATTGTATTTGTTCCTAATGTTATATCACAGAAATAGTCCGTTAAAGATAAAAATTGCAAAGTGCAACGACCTTGTTACTAAAAATCGTTCCATTCGATTATTACAAAAAGCTTATTTGGTTTTAAAAATGATGTTGTCTGCACTTTAATGTCAATAAATACCCTTGAAACTGCTCTTTAAATTGCATACGATCTTCACTTATAAGTAAATGCATTTACCAAAGTTCAAGGCTACTCTTGGTAAAAAAGATCCCTCGACAGGTTATCTTTGTCGGGGTTTTTTATTTTGACTGAATGACAAAGATGTTTGAAAAGGGTTTTCGATGGTATGTATTTATGTAACTGTACATATGTATCTGTTTGTGTTATGTACCTAGTTTAAAGTTTGCAGTTTTGAAGCTTGACGAACTTTAAAGTTTAAAAAACGTTTTGTAAAATTTTGCTTCCATTATTTTGTTCAAACTTAAGCTTTTCGACTACATTAACATCTGATTTTTTGTCCTGTTAGATAGTTTATCCAGTAATTATGCTATTACGGCGTTTAATCTTAGTTATAACTATAACGGGGTCAGTAACGATTGCAATGTTAACAGTAACTCGAGCTTGTCGCGGCCGCGGTGAGGTAACGTGTCTATTACGAGCATTTATTATATCTGTTCTCTATTTGGATATCTAAAAACTTATAAATGCATGTTCATTGTATCTTTACTGTAGCTATATCAAAATATGTTAAATACAGCAATAAATCTATCTATGTCGATACATATAATAAAATTGGAGTGTCTGTTGCTGATAACGGAAATCGTGTTTAAACATTTTTTTGTCTGTCTGTCTGTCCGCAAGCCGCGTTGGTTCCGGGTAATTTTCGAAACGGCTGGGCTGATTTTGGAACTTTCACTGGATGGTAGCAGACATGCATAACATTATAAGCTATTTTTTTCTAAATTCCGCGCTGTCAAAATGGCGTAACGGGTGGTCCAAATTTGTGCTAACGAAGTTTGCGGGCGACAGTTCGTATTATTATAAAACAAGCATACTTTTTACGATAAAAGACGCAAAGAGATTTTTCACATTCGATTCGACTTTTGTATTTACATCTTTCGATTTTGTCTCTCTTTACATCGAGTTACGTTTTTTTTTTTTATTATATAAACGACAGAATTTTATTTATAAAGTCGTATATCTTGGGTATTGATCGTAATTCGGCTTACATAAGTAATCACTCAATTTAATTTATCTTATAATACTTTACATAATAATCTGATTACAGTGTTATAAAAAAAGGGAAAATCTGTTGCAATTTAAACTGAACTAGTTCTGTTTATTGTGAACGATTTCCAAACCTTACCAACCAACGTCACAAATCGTGGTCGATATCGTTATTCTGAATTATTCCCAACCGTCACCCCGCTCAGTCCGCACGTGGAGATAGATAGATGAGAATAAAAAGTTTCATCCGTCCCACCTTTTGTTACGCGGGGACGTTTGGAACTTATTTTATTTCATAACAGTTCCACCTGTCCCCTTATTGTTGATAGTGAGACTAAAAGGTGGGGTGGACGAACTTTTTTATTCTCACGTAGGGACAGAGCGGGGTGACGGTTTGGAATAATCCTTTATTCTTGAAATATACCGAAAATAAACACTTGTATTACCATCTGGTTTCATTTCCGCGTGGTTTGACTTTAATAAAGTTACTCTACTATTGCTTACTAAATTAAAAGTGCAAAAAATTGTCTATGACGGTTAAGTGGGATTGCGATAATAATGAAGGTAAAACTTGGAAAAAAAGTGATTCTTGGACTCTGCAGTTTCAATACGCCAAACCCAAATTAATAACTTTTAGTATTTACAAGTAGTAGTAGTGTAGATTTTGGTAATTTTTATTTTTTAAAGGACTCTACAAGTTAAAAATAATATTTACTATTTCTGATAACAGTTACTGTGTTTTTAAATCTGTAAATTCTCTTCATACCTTCACTATACAATTCGATAGTGAATTTCTAAATTACCGAACGATCAGGTTTATTGATTCGAATCACGAATATGGTGAATTTTGTTTTTTATACGCTGTATTCAGTCGATATAGTAGAGAGTAAACGCTTTAGCTTTCGAAACGGATATGTAACTAGTTGCTGAAACTAGAACAAAACATTTAGAAATTTTGTACCTGTTTGCAAGGTTTCACTAATTACATTAACGTGAAGACGTGCGTCATTTAAATTGTTTTAAGGAATACTTTGTCAATTGCCTATAGATTTTATTATGAATGTATGCATTACATAAGGAACATCAAGTGCATGTGTGTCAAACGCGATAAGATATAATGCGATACTTGGTGACTAATTTATGATGTATAATAAAAAAAGATTAATCATGATGCGTCTTATTAAGATCGGGCGTGCGTTTGTGACTTATCTATCGCACGACAGTTGTGTGATTGTCGATTCTTTCGCAGCCAATTCTACTGTTTAGTTGTACAACTATAAATCAAGTAGTTTGCGCACCTCAATATAATCTCATAGGAATCAAAGCGCGACTAAACAGTTGTGCGATAGTTTAGTTTCAGATGAGCGCACGCTCTTACAGGTTCTTCAAATATTATGTCACGTCGCCTTAAGATACAAATGATATTAAATCAAGCACAAATATTGTTACAGTAACATAGAATAAAAACAAAGATAAATGTTCAAATCTTTGTATCACAATCTTTGGGAATAATAGCAGTCGGTTACGTTTCAACCGCAGATAATATCTGGACGTGACTAAGCGTTAAAACAAAGCATCAAATTGTATTGACTTTAAAGAGAAAGTTTTTGTATGAAACATTAACTTTACGTTATTTAAATACAAATCGAATACAAGAATATATCACACTAGCTGTTGCTCGCGACTTCACCCGCGTGAAATTAAAAAATGTAGTTACTCACAGATAAATTACCTTGATAACGGTGAATGATTTTTTAAATAGGCCCAGTAGTTTTTGAGTAATTCTAACACATACAAAAATACAAATCTTTCCTCTTTATAATATTAGTATAGATAATATATGAAAAAAATTATACTTAATTATTCATTAATGAATACAAAGAAGTTAGTTATGTAAAATTTTTTTTCTTTTTTGTTCTGTTTTTACGGTTTTATTACGACTTAAAAAGTGCTCTATTGCTTAGGTTTATATTTAATTTTATTTATACAGATACATAGATAAACTGTGCAGTAGCTAATAGAATGCCATTCGGTTCATTGGCCGGACTGCAACGGTGTGAAATTGAGAAACTTTTCAAGGAGGTCGTTTAACATTACTTGGGATATTGATAAATGTTTTTAAAAGGATACGTGAGTGATTTCATAATCATATTTAATATAATCAATAAAGAGTGTTTTAAGCAATTAGAGAAACCGAACAATTGTGAAGACAATTGGGTGAATTAGATATGTATGTTACCCGATCTTAAAGGAAAAGTTGACTAGTTAATTATTCAATAAAAGTCAGTTCTTATTTTCTTCAAATCAACGCAAAACTGTTTAAAGATGCAAAGAATATTCAATTCATAAGGGTCGTTCAATGTAAAAGTTTATGAAGCTTGTTTCAAGTGTTTACTAACTTGATATATATGTATAGTAACTAAATGCATCAAAATATATACTTGCTATATAATGTGGTTTTTAAAAAAATATATTTCCTAATAATAACTTGAACCTAAGTGTTGAAATTGCTGAATACTATTCATACGACTTGAGGCAATGTACACGGGTTTTACACATTATATTCTAGATACTTGTTGACCTTTCGAGGTGTCATACTGACCTTTGGAGCATTTGTAGTAAAGGTCACATTGGTACGGGTCCGGATAAAAGCCACTTTTGCCGGGACAATCGAAATCTTGACCTGAAACTGAAAGAAGATAACTGTCAATATAACTAGTGATTTATAGAATATTTTGTTCCTGGAAAACTGAAAATAATAGTATTTGAATATCATCATATTAATATAACAAATGCGAAAGTTAAGATGGATGAATGGGTGGATGTTTGTTAGAGTTTGTAGCCTAATAAGCTAAACAGATTTCAATGAAATTTAGAGGATAGCCTGGAAGAAGACATAGGCTACTCCTTTTTGTTTTTTTTTAATTTCACGCAGACGGAGTCGCGGGCGAAAGCTTGTATAAGTATTAATACTTTCTGCTCTATTTCATATTAGTCATGAGAGTAAGGAAGTCAAACTTAAGGACGACTGACGCACGAAAGTGACATTCCATTTTTAAAAAATGCCACTTTTAAATTTCATGTTTTTTAATTGCAGGAAATCGTTGTTATAACAATAATATTGATGGTTACCGATTAACTTAAGTTATTCGCCTTTTTTATTTAAAGAATTAAGCTTCAACTATTTTTTTTTTATTTTTAAGGCGATTACTTAAGTAGTTTCACAAAACGATTAAACATTTAGGGGCAATAACATGCTTTAACTCATTAAAAATTATCTTTGTATTTATGAATTTTAAAATTATGTTATACGGAATTACTAGGAATTCGCTTCAAAATATAATCTAACCACATTCATGAGGTGAGTAATTTAGATCGACTATGATTGTAATTTCGAGGAAACGTAACACATGAGGTTGCAGCGAGGAATGTCGGTGAGAGGAATAGAATGTAGCTGATCTTGACCCTGCCGACGATACTAATGTAACCAACAATCGACAGACAAGAGACTAATTTAGTTTTAATTAAAGTAATTATAGAGCAGATCGTAATAATTTTAATGTTGCCTGCTGCAGCTCGGATCGGGAACACGTTAAATGAATTGTTACTTGGTACTAAAGATTTCCTTTGGTGCAACATCTCTACATTTGGTTCTAGGAGCTTTTTTAGATGTCCTAAAAATCCTACTAAAGTTCTCATAGGAAACAAAAAAGGAGGCATTGGGAAATTATCAAATAGATCTAGTTAAGTAGTAAAGTGAGTAAAAGTTGTTAAACAATATCTTGGCATCAGTTAATTTACACTACTCTTGAAGGTGACTACGTTTTCAATGTATTAGACGGAAATATTTGCACCTCGCTCTATTTTTTTATTATACTTAGTTCGCACTTAACATCGCAACCGACCAAATTAGGGATTTCGAAAAAATTGATATTTCATGACAACGTCGGATAGTCAAATTGGCCTTGCAAAACGTACATTATTGACCGTAACGTGCATTATTGCTTTGCAAAATGTGCATTAAGAAATTATTGGGGCAATATTTTACTAGTAAACAGTGAAAGGAGGACACGTTGTATTAGGCTTTTTAAGGATGATTGATTTGAAAGGATGTAAATATCAACATAAATTGAAAATCAATCATTTAATAATCAGATAATTTAATTTAGTAAGGAGTGTTCATATAACATTTTGATTTCACATAAAATGCAACATAAAGTAGTATAGCTTACATAAGTTTTAAGAAAATGTACATAAGCTACGTAGCTTATGACATAGGGTAATCGATTAAATATTATGTGTTTGGACATCGTAATAGGGAAGTTGGTAGCAGTTAGGTAAATAAATTCTATATCACTTTAACAGACAGGAAGAGAAGTTTTATCAATTACTTAACTTAATGCATTCTTAAAAAAATGACAACGTTAAACGCACTGTAGACTAAAAATATTAATCAAACTACTAAACCAGAAGGGCTCACACTGTTGGAATTTATTAAGGTCTTGATGACTTTATTGTGGATTTCATTATTGTCTTAAAAGCACGACGACACATAACTTAAAGTTCAGAAAGTTCAAGTTACCCGTATGCACATGTAATCGTTTTTGTCTGGCACATAAGCCGACCCTAATTGATTTTAGTCGCTGTATTGCGGCAATCAGGACAATTATTTCTTGCTGCAGTCAAAGTTTAATAATTCATTAAAATTAAAATTAGTAGAATATTTAGTTTCATTTTTAGGTTCCAAGTTTGTTACATTTGCCATAATTTTAGTATATTAAATAAAATGTCGGTAATTACATAGATTATTTATCCATATTCTAAAGAAATATATACTTTATAGCTGCTTTTGCGAAGTGTATGTAAACTGATAGTTTACTTATTGTAAATACGTAGAAATGAACAACCTTGAGGCTATCAGATTAACAAGAGATCAATTGAGACAAACTTTAGATGAAGCAGAACGAAAATTATTAAGCCAAAGAATGTACCGTTTTTTTTATAAAAGAATAAAAGTATATTTTTAGATGTAATATGGGTAACTCTAAATGTCAAACTTTAAACATAAATCAATATGAGAAATACAATATTTTAGTTATAAAATCAACATTATGCTATTTATAAATTGTTTTCAATGACTACTATATGAGCTTATTAGGAGTAAAATAATTAAAATTTAAAGTATCAAAAATTTCAAATTTAAATGTTCAAAGAAAGTAACTAGGAAATAAAATTATTTATGTTTCATATTTATGTAAATTAAATTGATAAAACACTTACCAATTCCGCAAACAGCGAAGCTTATTAATATTAAACTAAACATGTTGTTCTAAAATTTAAAAGCGTATATGTAAAAAGTGCCTATCCGGGTGCACGTGTGGTTCCCACCGAAGGTTGCTCCGTATTGCCTGCGACCGCGTCCATTGGGCTACGGCTTGCCTACACTACATTCGAAAATATCGCTTGCGTTCATAAACTGCATAACCACGTCTCATTTAATATATCCTTAATTTTTTATACATGCCCCGTAAAGTACCGGTCTTTATCTCTATTAAATGTTACGAAATTTATTCCAATTTCTTTTACAATCGAGGCCTTTATTTTAGTTTTAATTACAAATGACAACTGTTACATAGAGGCATAATTTAATGTGCAAACTGTTTTCTTATTATTTTAATTTAGTATTCACTTAGTAATTACTGTATTTTCTTATGTAAAAGTTATGTAATAATAGGCCTATTTTAAGTGAAAACGGTTACTTTTACTGCGTACATTTAGATTGTTTGCAATTTTTTACAGTTTGTTCTAAATATAAAATGGTTTGTTTTATTTGACTTTTTATTTCTACTGGTGTACACTAGATGTATAAACTATACAATTTATGTTCAGAAATACTGGTTTAATTGAAAAAAGTACATAAAAAGTAATGCTTTCATAAAATACTTCAATAATAAGGTTGTAAGTTCATGAAGAAAAAGTTGTTCTATAAATATACCATTTAAATACGATGCAAGTCGAGTCTCTCAAGTGTAACTCTTACCCGGAGGCGATTACCTTGATTCTGTGAGTCTCAAGGTCAATCTCATGGTAAAATTATTGTAACAAACTTTTAAATTATATTAAAGAGTCTTGTCTTGTGATACTTATATTAATTTAATGTATGATACAAAAATAAGATTTGTTAGAAAAAATATCGTTTATACTCATTTTTAGTACAGTTTTTTGAAACTAAAGTATACAACGCCATTTATTATTTAGATATTACTACAACAAAACACGTATTCGCTATATATTTTTTTTGTTTTAGGTTTCAGAATATTAGTGTTCGAAGTCGAATTAAAACCTAAAAAGAGAAAAATCGTAAACTTTATTAAGCTCCAAGGTTATTGAATCACTTTGTGAAAGTTCTGTTAATGAAATTACTGTCTTACATACGTATTTTCTAATTTGGTATGTAGCAAGATCTAGATAAGCATTTGATATGAACAAATTAAGTAACGCGAGCAACAATTAAAGTTGGGTAACAGAATGCCTGTCGAAAACTGGTTCTAGTATTGTCAGCTAGGACAGGACCCGTGCTTGCGTGTGCTTTAGGCACGACTTGCACGAGAGCAGCGCACCTCAATCTTTAATCAGCCCTTATTATCGATTTTATTTTTACATTAACCAGCTTTCGCCCGCGACTTCGTCTGCGTGGAATAAAAGTGACAAAAGTAAGTAGCCTGTGTATTCTTCAAGACTATTCCCTACATCTATACCAAATTTAAACAAAATCCGTTCAGCCGTTTAGGCTATAAAATTCACCAAACATCCATCTAAACTTTCGCATTTATAAATTTTAATGTTTAATTAAGATCGAAGACTGTGTGTTTTAAATTTAAATGCAGATCGTATAGCTATATTCTACATTTGTTATTTTTTTAACAGGATGCTAACATGAATCTACTAAAAGTTGTTTATGATTTCGTTCGTTATTGGGAGACTGCTAAAGAATACAAGAATAGAATAAGGTCAATGACATTTGCTGTATACGCCGCGTTTTTATACAACGTATTGTTACAGAGAAAAAGCTTTTTAATGAATTTCATACAAAAACTTAATTTAATCGACATTAAGGTGATGGAAAATTGTCCACGACAATTAGTTTAGCATACTTATCCGGCCTGGTGAGAAAGCTATTATTACCTTCAGATCTTCTGAAAGTAAGACCTAGGCCATCGAGAAATAAATAACACGCTATAAAGTGTAGAAGGATCTTTTGTCAAGTTTCTGACATCGTAAGAGAAGCATTAATAACCCAAAGTAATTTTTCGCTTATGATTATCTGGTTAGATAATCGGATCGGTAAAGTTGAGAAGTTCTGAACTTAGCACGCGACTAAGTTCGGCGCTATCACGTCAGCGTCAGTTGCATAATGCAGTGATTCATATTCTCTATTTCGATTGTAGAAGACTGTAATTCGATTCGGATAATGCCTTTGTTTAATACAACGAATCGCTAAAATGTATTCACGTATTGTAACAGCCGACATTTATTGATAACGTGCATCAACGACTGAACACAAATTTAAATGTTAAATGTTTTCAATTATTATCTATTGCTTATTTTTCGAAATCTTTTATTTACACTAAGGTTAGAACACATTTGTCCAACTCTAAGACCATTCGCACACCTTTGACTAAATTATCGCACGACTGATACTGAATAGTGTGTGCACCTCCATAAGCAGTTGTGCCATTAGTCAAAGATACGCACGCTCTTAATACGAGAAGCGATACTAACATTCTTACAGCTTTTAATAATTTAATAACTAACAGACTATTTACATTACGATTAATCTCTACTTCTCTAAATATATGTTTTCGTGTAACGTAAAATTGTATATTATAGAAATGTATATACACGTAATAATAATTAATTAACATTGTCAACATTAAGAAACAACTCACAACAATGTTTTTTTTTTCATCGAAATACTAAAACATTTTTATCTTTACACAGAAAACATTGCATTTAAAAACATTGCTCGTTTACGTCGAATTTAGTATTTTGCAGATGTACAAAACATCCTTTCACCGAAGTCCGTCTGTGCATTGCAAGTAGCAATAGTTTTGAAGCAATAAAAAAACATAAACTAAGATTTTGCATATGATTTTGTGTGGTAATATGCACTTGAGATTTAAAGTTGATAGAAACAATCAGGAAGAAGCGGAAAGAATTATTGAATATAGTTTTAATCCATAAGTTAAAACAGCTGATCTCAATTGTTTTCCAAGGATATTTACTTTGCTTGGTTCATTTTAACTGCTAATATTAATATCGTGATTAACTATGGCATTTGAAGTATTTACTCAAAGGTCAGAAGTCTAGTCGATAATGACAAATTACTTTGGTATGTGTACGCAAAGTGAGATGTGATTGTCTACTGTTGATGAAAAATTCAGAATTAATTAATCATTAATTTGTTTATATGTAAGAGATATTGTAAGGTAAGAGTAAAATGTTTTTGAAGAAGACGACGGTCGCGTTTTGTTAAAAAAAATTGTATAATTTCTTATGTATTGAGCTTTTTTAATTTAAAATACCAAATCTTTTTCTTAAATTGCCGTTATAATACGGTTATGCTTCGTGTCTTTTTAAATTCCTCAACTTATTCGGATCATTTTAAAACATAATATTACATAGACCATAATAAAGTAGGATCTGTACTTTTCCTCATACCTATGATGACATTTTAAATAATAATAGCTATGAAAAATGTTGATACTATTAAAAGCAAGTGGTATAGGTTAAGCGTATGCGTACAATGACATTAACTTCTATGAAATAGTGAAAGGTATTTAATAAGTATTTAACCCAGTAGTACTTCGGGTTTTTTTGAGTTTATATTAATGCAAGAATTTTTATTTAATTTATTTATTTTATAATAATGAATTAACAAATATCGTAATTATGTTTGTCTTCTTAAAATTAATGATATTAAAATAAGGTTTGGCATTAAGCATTATTCAAAGTACGAAGTTAGTAACTTTTAAGTAAACATTTCATCTTGCTATTTGACCTTTTTAGCGCCACTTTGCTAAACTATAAAAAAATCAAAGAATTTAGTATAAAACTGTTTTATATTTCAAAAGTCAGCGCATCGCCGCATTATTTAACAATTTCAAACTTAAGATGAGACGTTTCGATAGCTTGCTATTTTACTTATCAAGCGCAGCGACCAGTTTAGCGGAACAAGGAAATCTATTTCTGAGCAATATGGGTCCGTAAAGTCTGGTCTGGAACGAATAGAACAATCAGAGTATCTAGGCTGCCAATATTTTTGAACAAATTTATATAGTAACTACTGTAATTATAATGAACAAAGACAAATATTAACAATTAGTACGAAGATGATTTCTAGAGAGCCTAAAGGTTTTAAATTATTACTTAAAATCTGGAAATGTAGTTGAAATGTTTTGATTATTCCAAATAATTAGTTCCATAAATTATTTTCATACTATTTAGGTAATCAGGGTAAAGAAATAAAACAGAAACAACCAATTATTGTCTTACAATATATTAACTTATTAAGTCTTAGGTGTAACTAAATTAATAGTATCACTAAAATTAATTTCTCGCTTTAGGTGCGGGCGCGGCGTCCTCCGCGTCCTTGTACCAATCCTCGCTGTGAAAATAATAAAGAAAAATTAAATTTGATAGACAAAAAATCAATTAATTTATTGTAATAGTGACATTAATTGATAAAGAAAGAATTACACTTGGCTTTTAATGGATTTTATTAAAGATTTTTATTAAAGTTAATTTCTATTTTACTAATATAAATGCAAATATGTAGATGGAAGGACGGATGGTTGTTAGAGTTTCTCGCCGGCTCAACGGAATTCGATGAAATTTGGCACAATTGTAGAATATAGCCTGGAAGAACACGTGTCGCGGTCGAAAGCTAAAATTCAATAAAACTATTTCAGGGTTTAAAATTAATTCCATTTTTATACTGACCATCCGCGAACATTTTCGGGAGCGTCACATTTCTGTGACTCCTCATTGTAGACTTCACCGACTTGGCAGCCGAGGTCACGTGGTTCTACTCCGTTCAGGCACACGTAGAAGCGCTGGCAGTCATTGGGATGAGGGAACTTGGGGTGGGCGACGGCCTGACCTTGAGCATCTACTACTTGCTCTTTGGGGCATTCGAAACCGTCCTTGGTTTTCTCTAAAAAAAAAGATAAAGCAAATTACTCTCTACACTCTATTTCAGAGTGTTTAAAACCAAGACATCCTATTATCTGATTTATTTATTAAATTTGAGAAGGGGTTTTTACGTAACAATTCTGGATACTTACTCTCCTGAACTTGGCATCCTTGTCTGCCAGCGGAGTCGGGCCACACGCATGTACCAGAGTACTCGTCGAAGTGAA